GCCCGCTCAGCCCACCCTGAGGGTGGACCTGGGGCATCACGTGGTGCTGGGGATTGAACTGCAGCCCCCCTGTGCCTGCCTAAGCTTGCCTATGCAGGTGCTTTGGATTGCTGAGCTTTATCACCAGCCCCTACCTCTTAAGTATGGAGGGCATAAATGAGGTAAAAATATATACTTCCTAATAGCTTCTGATAAATATCTGGGATACACTGAAAGATGACTAAAGCCAAACACATACTAAAATATATGTTTCTTTCTTGTTCATTGCTTATGTAGTGTCTGGCCGAGACCTTGATGTACAGTAGGTACTCAATAAATGTTTGTTAAATTACATTGAAATTGGTATAAATTTATCAGTCCTAGGTCATTTCTTTCTGTTAAATTGTACAAAATTGTCTTCCTTCAGCAAGCATTCATTGAGAATTTGGTTTATATGTTAGTGCTTGGTAATAGCAATGTAAATACAGTTAACAAATTCAATGAATTTCTCACCCTCCAGCAATGTAAATACAGTTAACAAATTCAATGAATTTCTCACCCTCCACCTCCTACTTACACCCAGTAGCTATAATTCATTGTAGTAGATGCTGCAGTTAATATATGGAAACAAAAAATATGGGAATATAGAGAAGTAAGCTGTTATGGTATCTAGTTCCCCCCCCCCCAAGCCTCATGTACTCATGGTACCGAGACTTCTAGAGTTTGAGATTAATTCATGGTCAAGGCTGGAATTATGGATCTTAGTACTGCTGGGATTATGGGTGTGAGTGCTATACCCAGCATAAGACAGACAGCCTGATTGCAGCTTAAGGGAGACAGACTTCCTCTCTGTAGCCACTGCTGCTATTACTCCTCCCTTTGCTCTCTGCTGTTTGCAGCTGCCATGAAGGGTTACCCTCTGCCATGTGCAGCTCTGCCTTGGAGCCAGCTGAATATGGACTTAAGCCTCCAGGAACTGTGAGCTAAATAAGCCTTTCCTTCCTTCATTTTGGGTGTCAGGTATTTGTCCCGGCAACAAGAGAAGAGTAACTGAGACATAAGCTATGTGTAACTTTTTTGGAATGATCAGAGGTTTATCAAAGAGAATGAAAGAAGGAATTTTTAGAGCAGCCATCTCTGATAGGAATGAACACTCAGCAGAGCATGTGGCAGAGGTAGAAGTTTCATGTGGCTCACGCAGAATGGACACTGAAGGATTCTTTGGGGTGCCAGGTTGTAAAAGATTTACTAGTACTAGGATAAAAATTATGGATTTTTTTTATAGTCACAGGTTGAAATCTGAAATATCATTTGCGTGTTAGAAAGAGACAAGTCTGGGTTAGTGACAGATTGGAATAGGAAGAAACTAAAGGTTGAGGAATCACAGGAGATATAAGTTAGGAAGGGAAGGACAAGTCGAATTTATATTGTGCCATTAGAAATGGAGAATGGTTAGGAGACGTATAATACAAAGTAGCTTGCTCACCTTAAATTATTTTCTTATTGTCCTAAAAAGACAACTAAGAAGAAAGCTAGAAAGTAACGTATCCAGAGGAAGATAAAGGCTATAAAAGTAATTTATTCTTCCTGCTCACTAGTGAGGAGCTGCCATTTTTCTCCATGTACAGTAGTCCAGGATCTGACACAGTTACTATGAGATCTGCAAGGGATTCTACTGTCCTTCTCTAAAACCTATGCTATGATGTCCCAGATTTCTAACTTCACCCTCTCCCTCCACTGAAAATGAATCTGTATCAAGGAGTCTTAATTTTATTTACTGCAGATTTTTCTGTTTCAGAAACCATAGTCCTGCTTCTCAGTCTTGGAAAATATCAGTCCTCTGTAGGCCCTGTCTTGAGATGGTGCAGGCTCTGTGTTCTTGCCTTTTAAACGTTACCAGGTTGTGAAAATCCTTACAAAGCTTATTTGGTCCAAATATTAAAAACAGGCAGATCATAAGAGAGAAAACATGAAAAGCTGATAAACTTGTGAAAGTTGTAATGAACTTTTCTAGTCACCTAGGAAGACATTGAACACAGAATATGATGCTAGTTTTATAATTTTCACTTTAGCGAGAATGAAAAAAGCTGATGTATGCTTGTCATCATCCTTTTCATTGGTGACATGTACCATCCAACACTCACAATACAAAAGAGGAAAGATTTGACTTGGCCCGTGGAGTCAGAAGTTTCAGTCCATGGTTAGTTCCCTTAAAGACAAACAGAAGGGCAAAGGAGAGAAAAGCTGTTCACTTGTCTGGAGACTAGGAGGCGGAGCAGAGGGAAGACCACCAGACTGAGACTGTACCCACTAAAGGCAAGCTACCAGGGTCCCACCTCCACCTGGGCCCTCTCTCCTAACAGCTGGCAGCGCTAGGAGCATCAGTGGATTAATCCAGAGATTATTTTAGGGCCTTCATGATCCAATGAATGATTCAGGAGACTCTTAGCATCTTCCATTTTTAAAAATTTCTTTAGAAGCAGCTCTGCCGCCAGAGCTAGCATTCATTTAATTTTATACAACATGCTCTTTGAGGCTGAAGCAAATTTGACTGGTGTTTAATGCAAAAGAAACATATGAAAACTGTTCTTCAAGCCATTTCTAAAGATGAATCACCCCCTTTCTTAGCAGAATCAATACTGTAGCCACAAAACCCCCTCCAAGTGCTTTTGAGGAGGTGTGCAGTGGCTCAACCCAGGCAAGTTAACAATTAAGATTATTTGGCCGAATTCCTCCCAGGAGCCCCCTTAAATTTAGGAGGAGGAACAGTGACATCATAAGGGACGTGTTTCTATTGGGAGCAGGACTGAAATGTAGACATTTGAAAAGAGGACTTGGGGGGTTGGCCATGGTTTTATAATTGGGAGTAATACACTTGAACACCCTGGGAGGCTGGTTGGTAAGATCTGGTGAACAAAGATCACCTGTGATCCAGCAGTTCTATTCCTAGAAACTCCTACAACTCTGTACACAGATGTGCACAAGAATTCTGATGGGAAACCTCAAATAGTGACCATTCCATGCTTAAGATAGCCTTTCAGTGAAATTCATGTGAAACAATCTACCTTACATATATCAAGATGAATAAATTTAAAACATAAAACAATGAGCTAAAAAAACTTCAAGTTTTAAATGATATTTGGCAGAATGTCATTCCACAATGAATGATGTCTATGAAATTAATAATTCTAAAAAATGATATTTACATTTAATATGAGGATACCAAAAATAAAAGTATAAAAGATATACTGGAATGATACATACTGATCAGGACAGTAATGTGGAATGACACAATGAGAGATTTAGGACTTTTAACTATATTAATAAGGTTTCTATCTGTCAGGTGAGTATTGTATTCGTTATAGCCTCTTTTTTTTTTTTTTTTTTTTTTGTAACCAGGAATTGAACTCAGGCCCTTGCGCTTGCCAGGCAAGCACTTATTCTTCTGAGCCATCGCCTCAGCCCCAGTTGTTTGTTTGTTTGTTTGTTTGTTTGTTTGTTTTGTTTATTTTGAGGTACCAGCATTGAACACAGGATCTTGCGCTTATCAAGCAAGCGCTTATTCTACTGAGGAATCTCTCCGGCCCTATATCCTCTTTCTTATGAGCCTAAAATATATAAATACTAAAATCCTACATCCAGCTTTACTTGTGCTTGTTCATTTTCTCTATCAATCACCATTTTATTCAACTACCTGGTCATCTTTTTTTTCTGTCAAAATCATTTTGTTTAAGTAGTCAAAGAAAAATATTAAGGCTTGACCTAAGGTGGAAGAAAAAAGCAGAATATAGTTAGAAGGAAAATCGTTCAAGAAAGATGTTTGAAGCAATTACGAGAACTTAGCTTTTGGTTGTGAACATGTGCCTGTGTGTGTGAGTGCAGACCTGTGTGTGAGAGGTGGACACTCAGGCCTCTAGTGAGGCTTTAGACCCCCCACTAAGACTGCTAAGGTTACAGTGGTGGAGCTGATATAGGAACTGAGGAGACAGAGGTAGTTAATGTTGTCTCCAGCCACACTATACTTTTTCTAAAATCCTAGCCCATTATTTTAAAACCTTATTAAGCAATCATTTATTAAAGATCTGCCACATCTAAGACACAAATTAAAGTTATCCCTCAATTTTATGCATAAATGCTCTTTTCCATTAATATGTTTTTAAAAGTGTTTAAACCCTTCATTTTTAAACATCATGATATAGTTGCTGCTCCCATAAATTCAACTGAGTAAGCAATTTCAGTGTAATACAGTTGAATGGTAGCTTGCAATGATATTATTTCATAACTGCTTTAAGAAGAGAATCTATTAAAAACTTCAGGATGTGCAAACATTTGCGTACAAGTTATATTCAGAAGGAAAACTGAAGGTAGTTTTGAATATATCCCCCCAATTGGGTGGCATACTAATTAATGACTAGGGTAGAGTGAGTTAAGTCATTCTAAAGTTATTTAGTTCATACAACAGTAAATATACAATGTAATAGATTATTGCATCAACATGAGTAGATTTTTTTGAAAATAAATGGATAAAGTGGGAGGCAAATGTACAATTAAAATTAGAATGAGTTCTCAGTTATCTCTAGCTTCATCTTTTCTGTACCATCACTTGCCTATTGATTGTCCCTCATGAAGGAAAAGTGGCATAGAAGCTAACAGGATTCACACAGCCTACCTACCCCAGGGCTGACCAGCTCCTGTCCAATTAGAAAACTGTGACAACACCTTCCCCGCTTTTGCTTTCTCTGGTACCCTCCAAACCTCTTTTCTATCTTCTGTGTTTTAATTCTGTTTGCAATAGAAACATGAATTCCCAAATGTAGGTCCCATATGGTTCCACTGTTCCTCCTCCATAATTTTCTTTCCAAGCCAACACAGTAGACTAAGGCTGGAAGAATTACTGTTTTAATCGTGTGTGTTA